CGTTTATCCAGGGGGGCACGCTGCCTGCTGGACTCCCAACATGGAGGTAAGAAGAACGAACTGCAGCTAATTGATCTATTTGTCTGTCTTACTGTCACTAATACACACCATTTATAATCATTTATATAATAATTAAAATGTACAATTACAACTACAGTACTTTGACTCACCACTAATACTAGGTTTTCTACATTACCACTCGTACCACTTATACTACTCTACTTATACTACTATACTTCAAGTACCTTTACTGTCACTGCTACCACAAGTTGTCTTGACTTCTACTTTAAGTCTTGTGTTAATATTTTACCATTACTACTACTACTACTACTACTACTACTACTACTACTGCTTCTACTATCTCTATTGCATACAATGTTCTGCACTACCACCACTTCCTTCTACTACAACCAATACCTTTAATTGCTGTTATCCTTCTACTAATATTACTATTACTATAGGACTACAACTGTATAATGAGTAGTGATAATACAAGGTCTTTTATTACAATTTCTACAGATACTGTTACTCTCCAGGTCTACTGCTGCTCTTCTTCCACTACTATTACATACACCCATGCATACACTGTACTGAACAACTGATACTGTTACTACAAGAACTTATACTGTTACTATATACACTATACTTACTATTGCTGTTACTGTTCCTCATCTACTACACTACTTACAGAACCTGGCATGGTAGCTTGGTAAAATGCAGCCAGTTAACGGCTCTCTCAGCTATTATTTATAATTCATTTGAGTGGGATACTTACCTGTTTTTCTGTTTTGCACCTCCATTACCAAAAGTGTCAAGGCCCTAAATCCCTTAAAGGGCTGCTGCAAGTTTATTAATCAGTCAATAATCTCAAATCCCCAAATACATCCATATTTATATAAACCCAGTAGGGCTCTTTGATCAGCTGGTTTAACCTCGAGCGAAAACTGAACGTGAAAAGGCGAAGCTGCTTTTGGCTGCAAAGCTGCACAAAGATGGAACCAACTTCCTGAGCCAAATAAGAATAAATTAAGATAAATTAAAACCTTTACTGTTCTCCTCTGTTGCATTTGGGGCAATTTACAACTTATTAGTGCACTGTTTCTGGTCTATTTAATTTGTATTTTATGTAATTTTATCTAATTTATTCGCTCTCATTTTATATTTTTGTAATGGTGTTTTTTTTTAATCACCCCTTTTTGTTTTGAATGTCACTGTAATGCAGTTCTTCACCTGTTGTGAAGCACTCTGAATTGCCTCTGTGTTTGAAGTGTGCTTTATAAATGAAGCTGCCCTGCCAATGTTATTTATATTGCCCAATATGAAATAAAAAGTATGAATGAAAAACTCCTAAAAAAAAACTCCTTCTATTATTACTAATACACTCTTAATAATAATAATCCTGTTTGTGTGTAGTTCTACAGGTGTTTCAGGGCGTTCCTGAGCTGCTCCACCCCCGAGCGAGGCTCCACCTTAAAGACATTTTCACGGCCGACAAAGACACTCCGCACTGTCCGCCAAGACAAGGAACACCACGTGTCAGCTCCCGCGCCCTGCTCAGTCCACCACACGCCCAACTCCATCCACGAGTCCTCGCAGAGAGGCAGTCACGTGGCTCCATCTCCATCGAACCGACACTCGGCTGCTTCCAACACCCCTGCTGATGCCAATAGCCCCAAACCCAAACTGATCCTTGTGGCTCACTACAGGGAGTAAAACAGAGAAACAACAGCGGAACATGAGTGTTTACAGAAGGGAGAAGGAGCAGAGCGCAGGTCTTCAATTAAGAAGGAAATCCCCTTAATAGTGAAAGAGCGAGCACAAAGTGAGCTCAGTGGGAGTCTTAAAAACGGGCTGGGACGTTTTAATCCCAGGACAGGTTACCATCGCTCTGTGAAGTCGGCAAACAGAGGTACACACAAAATGCCAGAGTCATCCTGCTTACCAGAGGCATTGTATATAAAGCAGAAGACTATGGGGCTAACCGTGCTTTGTGTTCACATTACAGACTTCTTCTACAGATTACAGACACATAAATAGGTTGAGGTATCTTTGGTACTTAACTAAATAATGTTCTTTCTCAATCTGAGAAATTATTCAGGAACATTTTAGAACCGCACAGTTCATGGTGGATATTTCATAAAATGTTTGTTTTGTGGTAAACGGGGCAATGAGGTATTTTGTCGGTTAGTGTGTAGCTACTGTTAGCAGGATTATTCTTTTTTCGATGATAATTCAGTTGAAGAAGGGGCTAAGCGTTTTTTCCTGACCCCATTTCCATGCCTGATATTTGAGGATTTGATACAGAGTATTAAAGATTTGTTGAACAATTTTATGCTATTTAGAACTCAGAAGGTTTCTATTAAGCCTTTATTTACACTGTGCTGCATATGAGCCCTCTGTCATGGAAAGCTGGGACTGCAATGAGAGTCACTGAAGGGGCATTTCATCAATGTTATGAGGGACACGTAGAGAGATATTGTTTTTGGTTGTCTTGGTGTTTTTGAAGTTGCTGTCTCTCTTTGTTTAGTGGAAAAGTGGTTTTGTGTTGTCTCCCAATTGTGTTTTTCTTTGCTTATGTAACATAAAATGAAATCATGTCACAAACAGATTTGAGTGTCTCAATCTTTTTCTATTTACTTAACCCAAAGTGTGTGTCAGTGTGCGTGCCTCTTCCTTCAGAAACTGGAGCTCCGTGACATTTTCTCTCATTTTCTTCCCTCTTAGGCATAGTCACATGTGTTGATTAATCTATGAATTATTAACACAGGCATTATTTACAGGGAGGGAAGCAGCTTACCGCTCTAAATTACAGCCTTCGTCTCGGTGAGAAACAAACAGCAATCGGCGCGTTAGAGTAGAATATAACAACTGACAGCTATGAATGAATAATGAGCTTACGGATGTACACATACACACGCAAAGGCAAAAAAAGGTCAATAATGCGTGTCTACTGCCCATCTGGGCAGCCACTCGGAGTAAACTTTTAGTCTTAAGCCCTATTTGCACGGGACTAGTATTACCTGGGGACCTCTAGTAATTTGTAATAATTGCGGAGGTTGTCTGTGATCTTAATC